AAATCCCTAGGTTTTTGGTTCTGTTTTGGAGAGGATAAAACGCAGAGGTTCTATTTTAAAAATTGACTTAAATAAAGAAATTTTAACAAACCCGACTAGGCACACTGTTCCCGTAACAGTGTGCACCCCTGTACGAAAATGTTAATATCTCTCTACTTCGAAGTTGTATTAATGAACGGTTTGTTGCGTTGGAAACTAGACTCATAGACCTTCGATTCGGTAGGTAGAACACACCATAGCTCCCAGTATATTGAGATAAAATCTCATCAACATTTTATCCAAATTTCAGTGAAATTTAAACCCGTAACTTGCGCGCGATCTTTGTCGAATTTTTTTTAATCACAACTCAAATGACTTCCAATCTTGAGGTATAACTATCACATCATTTAAATATCTCATAGAAATTATCTTCCTATCGAATTAGCCCCTTTATAACATGATAACGTCGAATACACAAGGTGTAACATTCTCCCTTCTTTAAGAACATTCGTCCTCGAATGTTTGCAGTTAACTTAACTTCTGAACTTTTTTTTAAAAAAAAAATTTCGCCAGAGTTTCCCCTATAAATAGGAATATCCAAAACCTGTCATCAGCCTAAACATACATATCTAAGGCCACACAGGGCTACACATCATAATAATAACATCAACTTGGCCTCACACGACCATTTACTTATACAATAATGATAATAAGAAGGTTAGCCATAACTTAATTACCTCAACTGTCACTGGTTGATATATGTGCAACACCTATCATATTTGTCTCAAGCATATCACCTGAAGACTCAAATAAATGAGGGTACCTGGACTTCATATCCTCCTCGTCCTCCCATGTCATTTCCTCTACATTATTGCTCCTCCAAACTACTTTTACTGAGGCTAACTCTTTAGTCCGTAGCTTACGGATTTGACGGTCAAGAATGGCAACAAGCATTTCTTCATATGAAAAGTTCTCGAAAATTTCAATATCCTCAATAGGGCTGATGCAAGAAGGATCACCTAAGAATTTCCGAAGCATGGAAATGTGAAATACCGGATGGATTGCTTCTAATTCTGGTGGCAGGTCAAGTTTGTAGGCTACTCGCCCAATTCTCTGAACAATCTGATATGGCCCAACATATCTAGGGCTGAGTTTTCCTTTCTTACCAAATCTCATTACACCCTTCATAGGCGACACTTTCAAGAATACCCAGTCTCCCACAGCAAATTCCAAGTCTCGACATCGGTTATCTGAATATAATTTCTTTCGGCTTTGAGCTGTACGCAACCTTTCCTGGATCAACTTTACCTTTTCTACAGCTTGCTGTACCAATTCAGGTCCTAGCAACTTTNAATTTCTTTCGGCTTTGAGCTGTACGCAACCTTTCCTGGATCAACTTTACCTTTTCTACAGCTTGCTGTACCAAT